CTGTGAGTATGCAATGGAAAGATAACGGGCGAAGTCGGAAAGAATTAATTTAATTATATAAAGAGATTATTGTGAATAGTTGCAGAGACGAGAGAGGCTTGTGTGGGAACCTTGTTGGTGAATTTCGTTTTCGCTCTCCCAGGCCGACGTGTGTGAAGGAAGCTGTGGGTGAATGTGAGAGTCGAGCGTGAAGACCGGACACAATGAGTGAGGAGTGATATTGATTAATCACTGACAAAACTCAAGTAACCTTTTGGTTTCTTTCTTTCTTTCTTTCTTCTTCTTCGACACCACTGGAAGGAAGTACAACAACGGAAAAAAGGAAGAACATGAGGAGGAGGGGGAAGGGAAATAGTTTTATGGATTCAAATCAAATCAAAGAAAGGTCCAATTTGCAAGCAGCGTAATAAAGCTATCACCGACAAACCTACTAGTATCCCATGTCATGCCATGCTTACATCCAACCTTATCCGAAGCTGGAGCCTGTACGTGCAGATGAGAAGATGTGGAGGTGTATCATGACAAGGAACCCGTTATTTTACTCGAAAGAAGTTCATTCCGCTAAAAGAAAGGAAGGGAAAAGATAAGTCGCTGCTGAGATTTAAAATAGCGATCTGATTCGTCTTTTTTTGCTTTTTCATTGCTTACACCTAGGTAATTCGTATTATTCCTACGGACCCAGGGAGTCAAACAAGGACCAATGGCTGATCTGTTTGTTTGGGGTAATCTTTCATCTATGAGAACCTTTCCTCCTTATCCGCTTTGGGCTTGAGTAGCATGTGAAAAGATGGAACGAGATGGGAGCAGATATCGGCAGCTTTCCCCATCCAGCTGGTCAATTTCTATATATGGATGGTGATTCCGATATTGAGGAGTGTTTGTTGAAACTTAATATGAGAAATTCCGGATGTTATTTCTTCTTATCTTTGGAGTAAATGGTGAGGATTGTTGGGGGTGATGGTACCGATGTTGGTGTTGGCATTGATGTTGGCATTGATATTGGTATCAGCATCTCTTCTTACTTGGTTCCATCAGTCATCACTCTCTATCTCTATCTCCATCTCTATCTCTCTCCCCAAGTCACATTCACGAAAGAGAAGAAAGAGAAGACTGATTTCTTGGCCCATTCCTTCTTTCGATCCTTGTGCAGTAATCCATTTCCGCCTATCCTTCTTCATACACACACACATACATAATAGACTTCCCTGGTAGCTACGGAATATAAAAAGATAAAAGATAGACAGGGGTTAAATTATCCTGTCTTGACCTATCAAAAAGCATGTGTGCAATGCAGGGTTTCATCAAGGTAGTTTCCGGATCCAGTTAGCACGAGATAAGACGATCCGACGGTTGGTATTCCATTTGATTGGTTCCCTTTGCTGTTCCCCCACGTGAAATGGCTTTTGACGCTGTAGAAATGCTTTCTCCATCGTGTTAGTTCCCGAAGTCAGCAAAGAAGCTTTCATGGGTGGCTCGCCAAGGTATCGGGAGCCTATGAAAGTCATGGAAAGCATCAGCCTTGAAAGAAATGTGCCAATATCTTTAATCTATAGCATTGCGCGGTATTCAGGGCCATGGAAATTCAATACGGAGTACGCCCAGTACCTGCCTATCCTCGAGCCTCCTCTCAAGAGATGGAATGGATTGGATGCATGCAAACAGTGATTTGTGGATGGATGGAGAAGGTTTGTGGAGGATTGACCGATTGATTGACCGACTTGCAGATGCACGAATGTACCTGATACTCGTTTTCGTTGCTTTATGGAAAAACTGGAGTATTGAGTTGGGACTACGGATGAAGAGGACCCAAATGCCGATCGAATGTTTAAAGCATCAAATCGGGTATAATTCATTCCGTCAATTTTGCCCCGAGTATTTTTGCTTTATTATGTTGTATCACTGCTAATGCCACGACTCCTACTCCCTCCTATTGCTACTAATAACCATATAATCTTAATACACGACAAACTTTCGAGCACTCCCTAGGTGTGTAGGCACTTCTTACAGTCACAGCCTTGTGGTTCCACGGCAGATAGAAGCGAGGCTCACTGTACTTTTGTAGGAGCCGTATAGGATTTTATTGTACGAAGCACGAAGCACGAAGCACGAAGCACGAAGTATGTTGCACAGGAGGGAGTCAGGAGTCAGCAACTCAAATTATAGCCTTAAAATCGCCCATCTTCCTATGCACAAACACAAGGTATTACTATTACTACCTACAGTGGTCAATGTCATGTACCATATCAGCATCCCTCTCCTCATTTTTCTCCTTCTACTTTCCATGACATGATGAAAGAATTAACATGACCCTTTGTATTCATTCCTCTTATCGTAATGAACGAGCGGGAGAAGAATATGGCGAGATGAGAAGTGTGCGTAATTCTCATATTCGCACATTGCGCAGTCTTTCTCCATTGGGTCTGGCTCGGCCGATATCTATAATTGACAAGTGTAGAGTGGGGCTCTTTGGGTTCGAAAATCAATGGATTTCTACTAGGGGCCTAGGTAAGGTGGGCCATTTTATCAGTGGATCCGGTTGGTTGATCCAAGGCTTGTTAACAATCTAAATCCAAAGTCAATACCCAATACCCAATACAGCACAGACAACATACCTAGTACCTACCTACGGAATACCTACCTGGGGAGGCACATATGGAAACCATAATGATGATGGTGATCTGATCTGATGTGATTTCATTTCTCCTCAAAACTTACCAACACGGTCGCTTTCTAGAAGATCTATGATTCCTTGTTTGGAATGCCATTGCATGCATCCATCAACATTACATGGCGCTTATGAATAACGTCGTGATTAGATCATCTTAGACATTTCATCTACATGATCTTAAACATTGAAAAGCTACGCCAGAATCATTCTAGTGGAGGAGTATCTCTTTGGAAGCTTTGGAAGACCTAAAGAGACCCTCGAGCATGAAGATTGTACCAGAATGGTAGGTTGAAGCTTGATGGTACAGCCTACACATACCATTCAGTCATCTATCCATTCAGTCATCTATCCATCCATCCATTTATTCATTCATCCATCAAGACATTCATCCCCTCCATCATAATTACTTCCAAGAGTCGTTAAAATTTGGACCGGTTTAATTCATCTATCAAATCGATAGCTGAAACGTGTGAAAGGTAACTCTGCCTCCTTGGCGCATCATCTCTTCGGTGTATTCTCCCGAATCATAATATCGAACCATATATATCTGCATATACATACGAATACATACCCTACGTGCGAATACTACATACTACATCGAGGGACGATCAAATTTCAAACAATATCCACCACAGATCATCAATAATGAACCATCAACCTTAACGAACGGGAACTTTTACAGTACTTAGGTACTAGTTTCAAGACACTGGATGATTCTATACTCGAAAAAAAAACATTCTACGCCTCTTACGCATGGGCAATTCCCTGAAACAGTTGAACTAAACTTTAGTGGTTTGATTCACTTGAAACTAAAGCTATTAACATGCCATTCGTTCATCCATTTGCCTTACATCCGCTTCTTAACCATCCATTCCGAACTGATTGATTTAAAACGGCTGGGGGTCCTTCCATTTTGGGAATCTTTGAGCCGCTCTACCAACCAGCCTTGGGGGAGAATTTGGCCGAGATAAGAGTACTTGAACTGTGTAATACTCCGAATATCTCTGACCGAAAATATCGAGTCACAGAAATCTTTGAAAGTGGACTTTCAAGTGATGGTTCAAAAGCTTCAGCCAGAAAAGGAGTCTCAACCCCACAACATCTCATGAGTTAACACGAGATTTCATCATGCATGTGCAGGTAAAGGTAAGGGTTAGTGTTAAGGTATCGCCAAGGAGCTTCTTACCGTACGCCCATAAGCAAGCCAGCTGCCATGGTTTGCTTGAATATGAGTGGTCTTATTGTTGTACAAACTCATTGATTGCATGAAATTTCCAGAAAGTAGATGAGTACTTTTGAGTTTGGTGTCACGCCACAATGGTACAAGGCCTAAACGAAATATCAGCTCAGAGTTTTATCTTCAACCTTATCATTGTCGTTTTGATTTTATTCGTATTATTGTAATTGAATACTCATAACCCTTTTTTAATTGTCTTTGATTTGGATCAAGTGCTCCAATTCTTAGAGTTGATCCGAGAAGTTAATGTGTGGACGAATGGTTTACTCTACTGCTCACCTCGTTTTTCTATCTCTAAAATGCTTGCCTTGCCTACGCTGTGAAATTCCATCAGATCATATCACAATCTGTATCTTTCTCTTGAATGTTACTTCCCTATGTCTCCCTTCATCAAGCTCCACCGCGCACGTCTAGACGAAGAGATGTGTACCTTGTAATCTCACCCCTCACCACGCCACACGTTGTACAGAACTCCATCCCGTGTATCTTTTTGACCAAGCCCTAGGGATTAAAAGGCTGATTGCATTTGGCTCATCTCCAGGTATGGGTTGATTTTGGCTTGGCTTTTTGTCCATATGATCTCATTGTGTGTGTTATTCCAATATTCATTCACTTTTTTGCTATATCTAGCCATTACAAGATCTTGTGTGGCGATGCTATTCTTAGGTGTGATGTTACAATGTGACCACCGATTTGGTCTCGTACTTCCCTTTTTCGTTTTTCGAATGAGTTCTTCCAAGTAAGATCTTACCTAGATGTTGGGTGTTAGCAGGTGCTTCAGAAAGATATCTTCTACGATTTCCCCACTCCTCGCTTCGATTTATCATAGAATTCGAAGATTACAGAGAGCATTTGTTGTTGATAACATGGATATGAGGAAGATATGAAGCAGATAGACTTATCTTATTGTCTTATGTGTTGAAATATTGCCAATATACTGTTGTTAATCATCAATCAGTATGTAACTCGTGTACAATATATAAATTTCTACACCTTCAGAAGAATTCCTTAAGCTCCTGTGAACCTTTTTCTCACAGCTTTCGCCTGGATACTTATCCCTCCCTCAATATCACTCATTTTATTCAAAATTGCAGGTTAGTCTCCTCTCAAAGCAGCGGCAGTCCCCTCAATAATCGCCTCTAATCCCTCGGCAGCACCTTCGGAGCCGCTCTCGAGGGGATTGATTTCTTCACACGCTTCTCGAATACATTCCAATTTTCCCGTGTCCCATTTGCCGCCTGGAACGCATCTTGAATATCCCAAAATTTGCATCTGGAGGAACACAAAAGCAAAGGGAGATAGATGGTTCATTCCCAATTCACAGGCGAAGGTGATGGATTTTCCACTAAAGTTCGGCGCGACGCCTTCGCAGGCAAAGCCTTGGAATATAGCATTGTATATTGTGGCTGTGGGGGTAGGGGCCTGCGTGAGCGTCGAAAGGGTCGTCGTGGTGCTTCCGGTACAGATGGTCAATTCCACGCCGCCGATCTGTTCGACTGCCGAGGAGCCGCAGATGATTACGTCGCTATCTAAATTGTGGTAATATGTACAAGTTCCAGCACTATGATATTCCAAGTTAGTACTGCTCATAGACAGCCTTGTATTTGAGCATGTTTCCCTTCTTCTTCTTCTTCTTCTTTCTTCTTCTTCTCCTTCTTCTTCTTCTTCTTCTTCTTTTTCTTTTTCTTTTTCTTTTTCTTTTTCTTTTTCTTTTTCTTTTTCTTTTTCTTTTTCTTTTTCTTTTTCTCGCCTGATCTCAAATCAACCTATTCTCTCATGGAGAAATTCATATCTCTTAATTTATTGAATCTCGTGACAAAACGGATCTCTCTTCTCCATTTAGTTGGCATCTGAAAATAGTGTGTCTGTTACTTTTGGATTTGTTGTTTGGGGATGTCGTACTAGGTGAGGAGTTGAAAAGTAGTTACTCATTCATTTGTAACTTGTGATGGGTTATTCGGGGTTAATGGTTAAAAGATAGGAATGGTGCTTTTGATGACATTAGTTGATTTGTCTATACACTTCGAAAGAAACCGGGGATAAAATTTTCGTGCTTCCTCTCTTCTGCCCTAAGTCTTGATTTTTTCCCCCAGACTTATCTTCTCCTTTGGCATTCCTTTTTCACCCTTCCTCAATTGTTTAACTTTGGTCTTCGTACTTGGAGCTCTCTTTCTTCCTTTTCTTCTTTAGTCGAGAAGAGGAATTGAGATTGCAATGCATATGCTCAAATGATAGTAATGGAAGATAATTTTATCCGCCTTGGAAATGCACATGGCCTGCTGGGAATCATACTTGTTATGCCTATTCATGAATTGATAACTTGAGCAATGATATATATATTTCAAAGGACGAATGTTATCTTTGAGAAGCAGCATGAAGAGATGAATATGTTGTGAAGAGATAATTAGGTTATGATAGACAGATTTATTATACACACTATCAATATTGTTTGTCCAGCCATACGCTTCACATTGCTCAATACTCAAGCTTTCTCTATTCCAACCACATCCCATCTACTCATCTCTCACCTCCTCTCTCAATCCCCTCTCAAATTCCTCATCCATCTCTCTCAAATCAACCCCCCTCCCCTCGGGCAAAAACCAATAAACACCCACCCCCAACACTCCCACACCCCCGCCACAAAAAACGTACTACTCTTCCCCGCCGCCTCCTGAATCGGCGTAAAAACCTGCGTCCCAACCGCCGCGCCCGCCTTTCCAAACCCGGCACTAACCCCATACCCCAACCCCTAATCGCCGTCGGGAAACTCTCCGCACTCATCAACCCAATCGTAGCACCGGGACCCATATGACCCAGACTCGCAAAAAGACCATACAGCACCACAAACGCCGGGAGATTTTCCGACGTGGTGAGTCTCCCATAACAACCCCCGATAATAAATCCCAAGAGGATGTATCCCGCAAACCCGAGAATGCCCGTCCATTTGCGGCCAATGCGGTTCACGAGCCACATGCCCAGCAGCACCCCGGGAATGGGGAAGATGGCGAGGATGAATTGCCAGATGGCGACGGTGCGGATGTTTTTCCCCGGCACGAGTCCGTTGATGATGGCGGCGCTCATGATGCTGTTGGGAAAGTTGACAAAGTCGTAGAGGAAGAAGGCGGTGCTGGTGCCCAGACACCGCAAGCCATATTTGCGGATGATGAAACGCCAGGGGATAGGTCGCTTTCTGAGATTGGAGTTTCGGAAGAGTTTTCCGTCCGTCATGCGCAGACGGAAGAGGATGACGACGAGGGGGAGAAGGGTACTTGTGCTGTAGATGGCGTGGAAAGCGACTTTGAGATTGTCGTTTGAGGCGAGCAGCGAGAGGAGATAGACGAGTGTGCAGGTGGGCGAACCGGTTGTGGCCATTAGGGTAGAGATGGAGACTTGGATGGGACCTCTTTTCCCATCGAACGAATCGGCGGATCCTTCGAGCGCCGCGGCGGCGGAAGTGGGATATTCGCCTCCGACGCCGACGCCTGCTATGCCGCGGGCGATGGTGAGGAACCAGAGCATGTTTGAGGAGGGTTCTACTTGGAACGCGAGGGTAGAGAGGAGAGAACCGATGATCACGAGAGCGGATGTGAAAAGCATGCCTCCCTTGCGGGAAAACTTATCAGAGGTATAACCTAGTATGAGGATACCGATGACGGAACCGACGAGGAGGGCATTGGAAATGCGGGTTTGGATTGTCGAAGTGTAGATTTTGGTGCCGAGGAGGTGATTAAACACTACGTTTGTACTGGATGCCTATCTTTGTTAGCTATGGATGCACTTTCACATGATAATACCGACGAGAAAGAAGAGAAACTTACCAAGCCCTGTTGATATCCATCTGAGTAATTCGCCATTGCCTATGATTATTCATTAATACAATCATCTCATCTCATCTCATCTCACCAACTACCACTCCACAGATACACAACTTACAGATCCCATAATCGTCCAAATAGACCCAGCTTTCGTATCCACAGACGCAGCATCTGATTCTACATCTCTCAACTCCTCCGCCGCATTATTGTTCCCATCTTTCTCCTCCCCCGTCCTCATCGAAGACAAATCCCGCTTGGCAATATCTGGTGATGCAGGCATGATCAGAATCCGACCCTACTTGAACAGCGTCCAGTGTAAGAAATAAGAATTGACAAAGTTCTCCGATCAAAAACTCAAATCTTCCAAAACCTCCTTCGTAATTTCCTCTCCAGCGAAAAGAAAAAAAGAAAAGAAGAACGAACCCAAATACGCAGAAAACATCCCCAAGATATACGTACCCTCCACCCCTCCTCCAAAATTCCCCTCCCATTCTCGCCATCCAACTCATCCATATCTACAAGTCTCCACACCAACTATCTACCATCGCAAAATCCATCCACAATCAAAAACTTTTCCATCCAAACCTGCATCTCCGGGCTGTCTCCAATCTTTCGTAATCTCATTATTGACGTTTAGATTGGGGGAAAAAATTGGACCCTTCCCGTTACATCTCCGAAAACTCACGGCATCTTTTCAGCCTTGCGTTTCGTCCCCAATTTGAATAGTTCATGATTGGGTTTTCCATGGCAGAACCGTCGATCACTAGCGCGGATATCGCCTCTGCGGCATAAAGGAGTGGGGCTTTGGAGTGGAAGCGCCGAGCAGTGTCCGATGTATCTGGTATGTATATTTCCGGCGGAATATGATACCCGGGTTGGTCAATTTCGAGAGCGATTGTCAATGATGTGACAGGTGAAAACCAATGTGAAGATTACTGTAATGGTATACTGTCATACCAGCAGTGTCATCATGTTTCATTATTGTTCTGATTATACTACAAGTCTCCACCACCACTTCCATTCTTCCATCACGAGACGTGTTCTGCCCACGCTTCCCAATGTTGACTTCATCCTCTACTGGCATCGTACCGCCATTACCTCCTTCGCTGCCTCGAGACGAATGCCAGTTTGCCCATTGCTTCCATGCATGCATTACACCTAACCATCTGGCTTCTCATCTCAACCTCCGGCTTCTTCTCCATTTTAACCCTCAACATCAACTCGACACTACATTTATGTTCGCACAACCAAATAGACGTTAGAAAGTTAAACCCAGCTTTCCTCATAAACACATATATGCTACGAAAAACACCAACTCCCAACTCAATCGCTGATGAAAAAATCTCGTGTATATGTATATCCCTCATATACATCTAGTTCCAATTCGACCCATTGTGCCCAAACCCAATGCCCACAAAAGACGCTTCATGTACTGCGCTTTTCCCCAAAACGACTGAAAAAAACAATAATGACAAATGCAAATACAAAGGAAAGGTTTTCTTGTTTGAAAAGTGAAAGAAAGGTGTTGTAATCACCGACAAGAATAGTTGACGAAGGCGAGAACTCATAGTACCTCAATTAGTGAAACTTCCCCTGGCACTAGATTGAGAACTTCCACTATCGCTTGGTGTTTGTGGCTCGATAGAGACCTGGTTTTTGATTGCAACAATCCATTCGTGTTGTAAGAGCTCCGGTGCCGAAGCACGTTTCTTGGGGTCTCTAATGAAGCATTTCTTGATGAAATCAATGCCCTGAGGGCTGAGTTGATCTGGTGATGGCATTTGAGGAGGATTGCCTTGGGCAATATTGTACATGATAGCCCATTCGTTATCAAGAGATGTCCAAGGTCGACGACCTGTAGCCATTTCAAGGATAACACAGCCGAGTGACCAGACATCGACTGAGCCAGCTCGTCCTGGGTTCTCTCCTTTAATGACTTCGGGGGACATGTACATTGGAGTTCCAGTCATGGATTTGTTCTTGTTGGCAAGACTGGCGGTAGTCGCGGTGACAAGAGTTTTACCTTGACGAGCAATGACCTTTGCGGCGCCAAAATCTACATATTTGATTACACCGTTGTGATCAAGGAGAATATCTGTGTTTATTGTTAGAGAACTGATCGTAATATGGATGAGGCAAAAAGATAACTTACTTTCTGGTTTGATGTCACGATGAACAATGCCACTTTCGTGAAGATATGCTAGACCTTCAAGAAGTTGCAAGGCGTAAACCATTATAACCTGCTCGTCCTCGATTCTTCCATGCTCTAAAAGACCCGCAAGTGACCCACCAGAACAGTACTCCATGAAAATATAGACTTTGTCGCGATGGACCTCAATTCCATGATATGAGACTACGTTGGGATGATCGAGAACCTCCAAGACGTGCATCTCATCGGCAATCTGAGCAGCAATTGTAGGAATAAGGTTAGGATCTTGTAGACGAATCTCTTTCACAGCCATAAGATGACCAGAGTCCAGATTGATCGCAGCATACACTGATCCAAAGGTACCACCACCAACGAAGTTTCCTTGTTGCCAGCGCATATTGATATTGGATGGAGACGCAGAAAGATGTGTGAGAGATCGGTCTGCTTCATTGTTTTCTTCAAGAACTCTGCCGAGAGCTTGTCTTTCCGCCTCGATAACCTTTCGTTCTTCATCAAGATCAGCTATCAGTTCAAGACGTTGATTAAGAACAAAGGCAGCTGATTCCTCGTCATCAGCCATTCCCCTAATATCCATCTTCCTAAATTGGCCGTTCAGTGTCTCCACCCGCTGTTTCTCTGCTTGAGCGGCCAAATTTGATCTTGCGCCCATGATATCAAAATGTGAAATCAATAGAGACATACATCCCGAGACCTTGGATCGAAGTCTTGTATACTCATCTTCCCCTAAAGCCAATATATGTTGGCCTTGAGTCATACCCATTGCAAATTCAAGTGCAAGCACCGCCCATCTGAATGTTTTACGATCCGTAGGAACGCAGTCATCACAGATGAAGCTCACCCAGTCCAGGGCAATCTTTGTGAGTTTGATGTTGTTCATTTGCTTTCGGTTTCGATCCATATAAGGCAAAGACCGCTGACCAAACTCGGTAGCGAAGATGAAACAGGTTTGAATGAGTTCTTGACATTCCAACCCTTTTGTTTGTTTTCGAACAATTTCCACGCTGTCCATAATCAAGTTTGATAGCTTATACACGACTTTCTTGATGTCGGTCAATTTAAGATGCACTTTCTTGAGATGGGATCTCTGTTCAACCACCATATCCAGATGTATCCCGATCGAATCTAAAAACGCCATTCGCGCATTTGACAATCTGGCCTGTGATCCATCTGCAATAAGTCGAAGATGTCCAACCTTCAAATCTATGTTGATATTTATCAAAGCTGAATCGACCTGTCGACCATCCCATCCCATTGGGACCTCGGGGCGAAGTACTAATATATAAGGGTTGCTAGGGTCTTCTTGTGTGTCTTCGGTGTGATAGCAAGTTCCTAGAATGGACTGGATGTCTTGCGGTCGATTGTACAAAGATGGAGAGGCTATGAGGAAAATACCATCGTGCTCAATGCTTGCAGTATAAACCAAGAAGTGACCGGTTTCAATAAGCCTTGAGTAGAGTTCTTGCAAACCACTCTGCTTCATAGCAATGCTGAAGTCCGTCGAGTTTTCGAAACGATCACTCAAAACCCTAGAAAATCTTTGCAACATACGTTGTCGCACGCGAACAGAGTCTAGACTCTGCTTATAACGCTTCGTCATCTCAGAAGCTGTTTCCTTTGGCTTTCTCACCATTTCTTTTTCGAAAGTGGTATTCAGTCGGAAGAAGGCCTTGTGGGTTAAAGAACTAAACTGCTCTGCCACTTCAACATCACCGCCTTGGAGATGTCGTCCGATCTCGTTAGAGAAATCCCATTCTTGCTCAAGAACTTCAGCTTCTTTGAAAGTGTTTTTGTTTCCGCCCAATTTCCAGTTGAGCATCTTGAAGTAAAACTTAAGTGCATCTAAAACTACCTGGTCAAAGGACTCATCGATACAAGGTGGTAAATCCCACCCAGGCTCAGGATTTGATATGGTAAGATACTCCTGCTTAATCAATATGGCAAGTTTCAATAATATTCTGAATTGCGAAATCATTTGCTCGGCCATCATTGCGTTCTGTTGCGTGGATTCTCGCATCTTCTTCGCATAGTTTAGTCGAACCTTGATAATCTCTTCGATGAGGCGCGACGGGAAGTTTATGAGAGTGAGTAACTCTTCGATATAAGGAGGTAGATGACGTTTCGCAAAACCCTCGGAGTTCTCGATCAATGTATTCTTTGCTTTCATGATAACCTCAGATACACCTAACAGTATGCTTTTATCACCTTGTAGAGATCTCAACCCATCCTCCTTGAGCAACCTATCGATAAATGATGATTCATCGGAGAGCCCATGTCCTGAAGGTGAGCGCTGTCTCACTTTGGTGAAGTCGAGTTCTGGATTTCCTACCCAGTTTTGCAGGACGGCAAGTTCAATGTTGATGAGTTCGGTGGTATTGTGCCATGATATGACAGCGTCGCAGGTAGCAGCGAATTGTGTAGACGCTGCCAGTTTATTCGCCATTTCCAAGCCAGTTCGAGATGGATATAGACTTTCACACTTCTCAATCTTTGCAACTACGCCCCGCACTTGGTCAATCGGTGACTTTCCAGCCTCACTCTCGCCTTGCACCTGAAACTTAATAATTTCCTCTAAAACAGTGTCAAGGTTGGCCCGGGTGTCTTCTAATATCCGTCGCTGGGCCCCTAAGCTTCTCCCGCATACCTTTGATCGTATACCAAGCCAGATTTCTGTCCCAATGTTCTCTGCTTTGTTTTCTGAATTACCAATTAAACGTTTCTTCTCTTGCCTAACTACATCTCCGGTTAGCACAGATGCTAACATCCCATGCCATTCCAGACGCTCTCTATTTGCGGGATCTTTCAAGTCTTCCTGAGTAGGTTGTATGTCATCGTTGTTGTAGAAAAGTACAGTCTCTTGATCGAAGGGATCACCATCGAATTGTAACTCTGATGGGGATTCCTCTTCAGTATCTGATCCTGTTCCATATCCAAGACTAGGTGTGTAAGGTTCACCAAAATATTCGAAAGGTGGATCATTTTGCCGTAACCGTTGCACATAAGCTCTTTCTTGCGCACGATATGCGCCGCTTGGATCTTGCCTATTAAATCTCGAGTTTGAACCGGATCGATGACGATCCGAAATTGACATGTATGGAGCTTGTGGGGGTCGC